CTGGAATTAAAAAAAAACATATATATATATATTCTTCAGAGAATGTCTGCTGTCGAGTGGTTTCATTCCAGAAAGATGAAGGGGAGGTGGAAATACAGTTTTATTAAAGTTTAGCATAGCAAAGATGGGAGCAAAGAAAAAATAAACTTGTTAACTGATCACCTGTTACAAAAAAAAGCATTCATCTTTAAGTCCACTGCTTCCCCGCTGTTCTTTATTTCTAGCAGCGGTAAGAAATACCTAAAATAGTAGCGAGTTTTCGGTGGGATCAGTAAGCTGCTGGTGAAGAGAAAAAGATGGCTGCTATTGGTGGAGATGGAGCATGGGTCTCGGTGTGAAGAACGGATCTTGCAAGTAATTAGAGAAAAATGAAGCTCATGCTCGTTAACCTGGACTGAGGGGCTTTGGAAACCAATTGGCCACTCAGATGCAAGCAGCCATTCTTTTTAACCTAAACACACTGTATCAATTGGACATTACATGGTGGAAGTAGTGAGCAATTAAGCATGCCTTTCTTTTCATTGGGCTCGTTAAAAATGCTGAAACATGGCAATTAAAGAGTGTTATATAAAAGATGTCATCAAATTGTTTTAGAACCTACAGTAATTAACTTCTCTGGAAAGCTGCTTAAATATAAACAAAATACTTCAAAATGTTCTGAAATATTCAGTTATATTTCTTAACTGATATTGTGAATTTACTAAACAAAGTGTTCTGCTTTTTTTGTGCTGCAATGTGCAAAAATGAATCTTATTGTCTCGAGATCATTTTTACAGTACCATATTTGTATTGTTAACATCATGCACCTGATAATCTTCGTAATATTTTGACGAGAGAAACAATGGGACTGGAATTTTAAAAACCCAGCTATGTCATCTTTCACCAATTTAAAAGCCATAAAAGAGAACTGGAAGGTGAAAAGATGTTTTAGAATGTTGTGTTCAGATTGAAGTAAATCTTGCAACACTCAAATTTGAAAATGCAAATGAACAGTACTTCAGAACAATAAAACTGGCCACAGTGGACCGTGTGGAGTGGTAAAACAATTCTTGAAGAAGCAGCTGGACAGAAACTTCAAGACAAATCATGTCTTGAAAGATTACAGAATATGTGTGTTGCGTTCATGTGGAAAACAAAATGAAGATGCAGTACAGGGGCCATTTTACATTGTGTAGCTGTAAACCAGACTTATTATCTATAAAGTGAAGCCAAGTTTGACAGTGCTCACTAAGGACCTCAATCGACATTTGCTTTTCCCTGCTGCTCATTCCTTAAATGGGAAAACTGATCTGTTCCCTGCCTATAAAAGGCTGGTGGTCACCGTTTGAAGATGGTGCAGATTTACGGCCGAGATGCCTCCACATAGTGGGAGAATCCAGGAAACTTGGGGAGAAACTTGGGGTGGTGGCTGGGGCTGCGCTGACAACAGCTTTCCAAACATTATTTTCCATAACCGAAGAAGCTATAATGCAAGCAAAGGCTCCCGATTCCCAGCAAAGTAGATCAGGTGGAGACGGGCAGCAGTGGCTTGAACGAGACGGATGATCTTGAGAAAAACAAAGTACTTTCTGAAATTGGAAAGAAGATGGAATGAAAGTGGTACACATCTGCAGAGCTTCCACATTTCTGTGCCCTTAAATTTCCTGTGAAACCCTCTTGGCACGTCACTGTTGCGCCGACCTGAGCTGCTCCTGAGTCATTCCCTTTTTCCGCTTTTCTCCCGTCAAACCACCTGATTCCTAGTAAAGAGGTTTTTTTTCCCAGTATATTGTTCGTTTGGCACTTGCTGCCATTTCACCAGCGACTAAAATCCTGAAGGTGCGGGGGGGTTTGGGGGGTTGGAGGGATTAGTCGAGTCATTCCTATCTGTCACTCTGTTTGTCTAACTTCTCCAGCCATTTAGCAGCTCGTCAGTTCGCAGGCCGTTTTCGAGTTCCTGGAAAGAGGTTGCTGCGCTTGCAGCTTTCTTTGACGGAAAGAATAACTGGCCCCTGCTCTCACGGGAAGAGAATAAAACCACATTGACTCCCAGCTGCCATGCTTTCCCACCCCTGCGGATACTGTCTCCGATTAGGCAGCCGCCAAAATCACGTGGGTCCCGAGAAGTCTAACATGACAAACGGAGAGCGACGGCAGATGTGCTACAGTTTGTAATTGCACAGGAAATATTGGCAACTCGGGCGGCGTGGTGTCCCAGTGGTTAGCGCTGCTGTCTCACTGCACCGCGGCCCTGGGTTCAGTTCCTGGGGTGCTATCTGCATGGATTGTGAATGTTCTCCCGAAGTTGGTGTGGTTTTCCCTCGGATGTGCCAGTTTCCTCCCGTAGTCTAAAGACATGCTGGCGGGTTAATTGGCTTCTGGCGAAATTGGCCCTCGTGTGAGTGTGTGTGTGTGTTTATGTGCCCTGCAATTGACTGGCATCCTTTCCAGGAAGTCCCCGCTTTGCTACTGTTACTTGCTGGGAAAGGTTCCAGCTCCCCTGCAACCCTGAATTGGATGAAGCAGTCATAAAAAGGATTGATGGATATTTGCAGCTCTTCATATGGTACTGTTTCTTACAGATAGTAGATGTGAGGAACAGAGTATTCTAGTTTTCATCACTGCTTGAGCTTTCTGGTAACTGGTAGTTTTCAATGAAAACTAAAATTTAATTTAAAAAATAGTGATTCATGATTGAGGTACGCTTTCAAGCCAAGATATAAATGTTTCTGTTTTGCATTTAACCATGAATTTAATGAGACCTCAGAAAGATCAAAAGTCAGAAGACCTCACAACCGCACACATGCCTTCTACATTGACAAAGGCATATTCAGGTTAGAGACCTGCTTGGCATTTGAGTTTGAAACTACAACTCCGTTTGTAATGATTTAAAAAAGAGAATATATGCAGAATGTGTTTGTACAGTGTGGATGCTATTAGAATGCTGTGTATAATTAATTCTCATGAAAATAGCCATGGGAATCAAAGTAATGTATACAAATGGATACTAGAACTGGATTAATGACCAGGAATCTTATTCTTCTGTGTATCTGAGGGGAACAGCACCTAATTGGGTAGATGTAAGCAGTGGTGTGCCACAGGGATCTGTTTTGGGCCAATAGATCTTCGTGATCTATATCAAATAAGAGTTTAGAGTTAATAAACTAGTTAAATAAACTTATGATATGAAAATATGGGGATTGTCAAAAAGAAATGCTGGCAAGGGAATTAAAAAAAGATATAGGCAATCATGATGTGTGCAGCCTTATGGCAAGTGAAATTTAACATTGATGAATGCAAAGTTAACTAAATTGGAAGTTGGTTGTAACCATATACTATGCATACAGTGATGTGAAAGAGAAAGTACACCCTCTTAAGATTTTATATATTAAGATATATTGTCGTTTAACTACTCCTATCTCCTTCCACAAGGATGATGTGTAGTGGGTTATTTGGATTCTTTAATGTCCTTGTTAAGACAATAAGGAAAAGCAATAAAAAAGTAAGCAGAATGAAATCTTCATCCTCATTCTCATTTAGAAATGATAATGGGAGACAATTCTTCATACAAAAGAATAATGAAAGTGGGCTTCTCAGCTACTAAACTACCAGTTGAATGAGATGAGCTGAATGACTCGCTCTCATCTGCAAACATTGCTTCTGTCATAAGAACAGAACAGCAGACAAATGAGTCTGTAGTGTTGGCACAACCTTCTTACTAGAATCTATACATTTATGCAGGAAGTTATTTCTACAAAGCAGACCTTTACACAGGGAGAAAACAGAATCAAACCATTGTTCTTGCAAAACATCACCATTTCGGGAAGTAGTTTCATCTGCACAAACTAGCAGCCTTTTGTTTGATATATATAACAACCTCCGTTTATCCAATACAAAGAAATCCATTTTAAAACAGGAACAAAAATAATATGGTTCAAATTCTTTCTAGTTCATTTTATGGCAGTTATTTGGAATTTCTTTTAAAATGCCTTTAAAACTGAGAAAATATACAGGGCTTAATTATTTGAAGGTCAGCACATACACAACTATTGCATTTGGCACGGCAAATTACTTACAGATTTCTAAAGCAAAACCAGTTTCCCATTTTGTTGTGAAATGTTACATTTAGAAGCTCACTATGAGAAGGGAAAAACTTAGTAAGTGATTTATGTTTTATTATTTTTTAATGTTTTGGTGAATATGAGTCAATGCTGATGACACAGGTTGTAACACAACAGAAATACAAAAGATCTTTGATGGGTTGGTTTGGTACTAGAAAATACTTAAGACCGAACACAGCAGGTTCTGATGAATTTAATAACATCGAAGCCGTATTAAATAGCCCGTTAAAGCTACTGCTTTGGCCTCTAGCAGAGAGACGGCGGTGGCCTGGAATTTCTGTTTCGTGATGAAAACAAAAAAAGAAAACTATAGCAGCTTCTGTCTGTGCTGTAAAAACAGTATTGTGCGGTGACTTGGCATATCATTGCCAGTGGAAAATGTCTATTAATCATCTTTGGGAAAAGTGCTAACAACAAGTGTGGCCATTTTGTGTATGCTACAAGTCCACCCTTCATCACATTTCTAAAATTAAAACAAGTGTAGAGATGTTGTGCGTCTGGAAGAATCATGTGAAGCTCCTGAGACACCACATGATGCTAAGACCCTAAACCCTTAAATGCTAGGAACCTGGCAGTGTGGACTAATTCACACCTCATCCATTTTTGGGGGGTGGATATTTTCTTGATAAAAATGCCAAACACGTTATGCTTTTGAAATGCTTTCGCAACATTAGATGAGGAGATTTCAGGAGATTTCAGCTCAGTTAATGATGCTTTCCTGAACTTCTGGCGTTTAAAGTTATGTTTCTTTATAAACATCCAGAGTTGATCTTTTATCCCTAATCAATTGATCTAGATCTTGGGCTGATCTGAAACAGTGTTGATCCATTCCGTGCTACATGAGCTGATCTAATCTGATTTATTTACACAAACTTGTTTTATACCCTTTCTATTTAACAGTAAGTAAACGGTACTTCTAAAAGAAGGACAACACTTCATACTTCAAACGCCAAATCCTAAAAGAAGTTGGCAAACCACTGAACAGCCTCAGTGACACAAGGGGTATTACTTCACTTCTTAAGAATCCCTTCTTTAAACAGTAAGTGGAAACATTTTAATGATCTTTTATGGTTTTGGAGACCTGTGTGAAGTCTTCTCTCTCTTGCACACCAGCTCTGAACAAACCTGGGGAATTTCACTGCCAGCACAAGTCACATGGATCCTCAGACTGGGTTAAAAACCCAACAGCCAAGCCTTTATTATGATGTTTTGAGCTGGTATTAAAGAGCCATGAGAGGTATTTCAAGGAGTTGACTCGCGCAATGTAATTTTCCAGTTTGGAAAATAAAATGGACTTCCCACCGATTGTAGATTTCATACATTGTCAGGGACTTTACCTCAGAGTGCTGAAAAACACCCATTTCACAACCATGTCCTTGAGGTCCTTCAGAGGAAGATGGGATATGATTAACTGGAATATTCCTCTGCAAATGATCGTAATATGGATAGTAGTCATTTTATTTTGAAGGGAAAATATTCTAGGTACAGTATATAAAAAAGGTATTTTTTTAAATTAGAGCATGAAGAAACAATGTTGTCAAAGGACAACGTATAATATTACAGAGTAGAGCAACCCAACAATGTTTATATTTAAAAAGAAATCCTGTTAGAACAGATCTTTATGTTGCACTGTAGAACACATTTCCTATTAAAAACAGCTCTTGAGGTATGGCACTAATGTCTCATAAGAGGTTAAACAGTTTGTCTGCTTGTTCGGGGTCAGTACCCACAACACCTGTTGGAAAGGAGCTTTGAGAATGATTCACAGCTTCCTGTCACTGGAGCCAGATAGATAAAGATTTGTTTGAATGGAAAACTGCATAATTCAGTCTGCTATCCACTGTTACCTAGGCACTCCTGATGAATTCTGAATGTCTTGGTGTGTTAGTATCACCTGTTTCAAATTAAGTGGTGTAATGTTAAAATTACACGTTTAAGTAATCTCTAATGGTGTTGCTGGGCCGAGAGACTGTACTATTTGTTTAAAATGCTTACTTTATTTTCTGAAACCTGCATTTTAATTCATTTGTATCAAATTTAAATCTTCTACCAAATACTGCTTGTGATCTATTTCATCTGAATATAATTAATGTTGACCAATGTCCAAAAAGGTTTCATAGCAATAAAGAGTGTAAATGTAAATTATACAGGGTGTGTGTATTCTCCATTTTGTGATGTACTAATACAATCTTGTACCACTGCGGGGACATGGAGAACTCATTTCTGTCTCCAGTAATGTTACATAGTCAGCTCTCTGTGACTCGGATTCTAGTTTTTCTTTTGAGTACAGAGTGTTTCTGAGTCAGGGTTTCTCTCTCAGGTAATGGGCCTGTCTTTAGTGGCTGGTGTGCTGTTCAGCGTCTCTGTGAATTGAAGACCGAAGAGCACAGCCTGACACTTGATTTATTGGTGTCTTTGAAGTTTTGTATTCTGACTTCATGCCTGACATTTGCTTCCTGGTGCAATGAATTGTTTTAAAAAGGTGTCCCCAGTCAGCTGATTCCAGGAGTGGTTTTTCATGTAAACTTAATGAGCTGCTTTTGGTTATGTTGAACAGAATGAGTTCAGCTTTGTGGGCTTGCAACCTTTTATATATATTTGTATATATAAAGTCTGCTCTTTGTGCTTTTCTGTTTGAATTTTATGTTCCTCTTGTTGCTTTTGTTTGTGTTTGATTTTGCATGTGTAGGCAGCCTGACCACAGTTATTCAAGAAAGCAAACACTGACAGGCTTTCCTGGTAGCCTAGTGGAGGGTTTCAAATCAAACACGCTAACTCGTTTATCAGTCTGGGAGACTGACAGGAACTGAAGAACTCCCTGCAGAGAGGAACAAGGTTGAAAAAAGGGAATTGCTGGTAAATTGGATCAGAGGTCTTCAGCCCTTCTTCTGGTTTTATAGGTAACCATCAGTTAACCATCAGTTTCTAAAGACAATTTCAATATGAGCAATGAAAATTGAGCTTTGTTAAATTATGAACTTTAGGGATCATATAGAAGGTCTGAATTTTCTTCAGCTGTGATCTGTAATTGCATCACATGAACACAAAAGAATTGTTAGAACTCGTCTATTTTATGTAACTGAGCAAATTACTTGCATAACTGGTCGATAGCTTTCAAGTGTTTGCAGGCTAAGGTGATTACAGCTGATCTATAAAACTTACTGGATTGGGGCTTTCTAGGCTAAAGACAGTGATCTGAGAACAGGAGATTTCTTTATGCAAAGGGTTGTGGGACTAACAAGCTATGTACACATGTTATTGAAGCCAATATCCTGGCTTCTTTCAAGAAATGTCTGGACGAGATCCTTGGATCCATTAGCTACTACCTACCAAAATGATTAGATGGGCCGAACTATCAAACCTGCTGTGACTTGGGTGATCCTATACATGGAAGTCAAGAAGTAATTAAATATGTTTAGGTCTTGTGAAACTTCACATTTCTGCCATTATTCATAGAAATGTTGAAGCAGTTTGTCAATAAGGCAAAAGACAGCCCTGAGCCAGATGTTGTATAAACAGAACAGGATGTTTTATTTTATACAGGGAAGAAAACCCCCCCAGACATTGTTGTTCTTTAGACCTGCGGTGGAGAAACGCCAGTCTTTGAGTGCTACACAAGATCAAATAGTTTCTAATTATCTGTTGATAATTGTCCGTAAAAAGGTGATTGGACTACTTCTTCAAACTGGTTCTGTTGAGTAAGATCTGGCCCTTGAGGCCTGGAGTCATCCATCTGTGCTCAAGATAGTTAGCTGCTTCCTTATTCAGCCAAACAAAAATATTTAATTTCAGTAATAAAGTGCAAATGCCACTGATCTGAAGTACCATGCATCTTGTGCATGTGCAGTTAACCACTATAGGAGTGACAGATGTGCAGTGATATTATCTCAATATAATGAGCGCAGAACAATGGAGAGGAAGTTGATTAAACTGTTGAGCTGATCAAAGGAAGTTTTAGACCTTTTGTTTTTCTCTTGCTGTCATATTCCTTTCAGTAGAATGGGTCCAAATACAAGAAGCCCTACCTCCCAGCAGGAAGGGGTGTCTTACCATGGTTACCATCTGTTTAAGGATTTATGCATTTTGGAGGCTTTTACAGTTCCTGCTGTTTCTGCCATTATCTCAGCAGAGCTTCTGTTGCTTCAAAGGCCCTCTCTCGTGCACACGTCTTCCTTTTGTACAGGAACAGCCTCAATCCTCTCTGCTTTAAATCCTTGAATTCCCTTTTCTGGATGAAATGCCACTTGGCAGGGCAAAGGAAGCCAGAGATCCCCCTCTTCTCCTGGTGGGGGGAAGGAGACAGTCATGAGGGAAATGAAGTCGAGGTCAATGTCGAGATATCCTGTGTTGTAAGGGACCGGAACATGCGCAGCACGAGTTAATTAGACTGCCCCCTCATCACCGACCCCTGCCTCTAGGCCTAATCCAGCAGGAAATGAGAGCCTGTTCAGTCACTGCCTGCTCGCTGATGAAGTAAAAGAAAGTCGTTACTGTAACTATTTAATTAAAGAGGAAAATCGAGTTCTTGTCAGATAAAGCAGCAAAATCTTTAACACTTGTGATAATGTGACACTTTGCACTTTGAAGCTTTTTTCTTTTTCTGACTCCACACTAACGTGTGCCACTTATGGAGGATCAGTTGGAGTCCGCTCAGGTTTTACAGGCGTCTTAATGAGTCACGCGTGACTTTAATCAGGCCAGCTGTGGCGAAGCCCCAGCTCAGGTGCGTCTAGTTTTCGGTCACGACTCGGCCTGAAGCTGCTCTGGGTTCCGGTTCTGTGTTATTGTTGTCGACTCCACAGGATCTGGGGCCACAGAATGAAAACTGTGGTGCACTGCTGTTTACGGGTTGTCAAGGAAAAGAAATTAAAAGCCACTGGAAACGAGTTGAAACAGTTACTCATTCCAGTCGTTTCCCATTTGGCGGTCTCTCTTTATTTGCCTCTTTACATAATTTAAAAGTGTCCTCTGCCAAGGACAGAAAGAGACAGAGTGGTTTCCCGGTAGAGACGGGGATTGTGCGAGAAAAAGCATCGGCTTATTTTTTAAATTTGGGGAATTTGCAGTGGGTTTCTAAAACAGTTAAGTAATTAATGGTAAACGGATGGGACAGTTCAAGGTTTCTGGAAAGCAAAGTTTGTTTTGGTTTCTTGGATTCCTCCACAAAACACTTTTAAAGTCAACAATAAAATTGTCATCTAATGATGTCATATTAAATCAGTGCTTCCCACGTGTTTCAGATCACAGCACATTTTTAATGTCTCCAACTTATAGTATGCACAATGATTTCTGAATATTTGACTTCAGTGTTTTCATATACATTCCCTCCAGGTCTAAATACAGCCAGTGCTAGTTTTGCAAGAAATACGATTTTGCATTGAAATATAGACCCTAATGCTAATGAGAAATGTTTGACTTCACATTTCCGACTGCACATTCAATATGAGATGTCAAGTTTGCAGTGAATATACCCGTTTCATTTTTGGTTCATTTTTGGTTCAGAGTTGGAAAGACCTAATCTCTTCTTATTACAACACACACCTGAGATCATTTCATATCTTTTTGTGGGCCCAAGATCACAATCTGAGAAGCACTGCAGTGGATTTTCACACCTTGTTAACTGCTGCAATATTCATGTCAGCCAAGTGAAAGTCGTCTTATATTCTAATAGTGGTTTGACAATGCATGTTGTGCAGATCAGTAGCTCTGTAGTATTAATCTGAATTACTCTATAAGTGCCTTAACAATAGATGAAGGTCTGCATACTGGAAAGTATTATCGTGTACCTTGACCCATGCCTGCAAACAAATGTGATTGATGCAGAAGGGAGTGCAGCTGTCAGTTAAATTCTGATTTTAAACAATTTAAAACTCCTGAACTTTGATAGTGTCAACTTTCTTATCTAAATCTCAACCAAATATCAGTTTTATCTTACTTTTATCATCACAACTATATGGTGAGTTATCTATGGCCTACCCAAAAGTAAATGACTGTTTGGGTTTACTGTACTTATTTGTGGAAGATATTTGGGTTTGTAAT